TATCTAAATACTTAAACTTTGGCATACATACTTTATAAATTATTTTATTATTATCATTTAAAATAATATTTGCACTTATCACAATAACCGTAGATGCAATTGTATTGCAGGTAAATGTAAATAGTTTTAAATTCACGTCTATAACTTAAAGTAACTTGAAAATAGTGACCAAGACTATTATTTTATTTACTTCTTTTACTTACTTGACTTGTCTACTGTTTACTTGCCTGTCTAAAAAAGTGTGGCTTGATAGAAATGTTCTTTGTCTATAAACTATCTAGCTCTGTGTAGGGGTTGTTGAACAGGGGAACAGATAGAAAAAATGTTGAATTTTATACGTGCTTTAGATCCACATAATACACCAAATAATAATGCAACTTGGTTCATTAAAAACGTTTTATTCGGTGCTTCATGAATAAATTTTAAAACATCTTCCCTAGACAGAACTTAAGACTTTTTTGGCTGATATCAGTGAATATTTGGACCTTCATTCAAAAGTTTCTGGGATTTTATTTCTAGCGATTCGCATAACCTGCTGCATTTTGACGTCACGTAGTCCACCTATAAAACCCTGGACAGCCAGTTGTTCCAGAAAGTCATCCAGGGCAGTAGGATAGGTTAGTCTGATAAGGCGTGCTATATCGGCTTCAAATTCTTGTAGAGACTCACCGGATTTCTGCTGTCTGGACCTGAGTTTGGTACACTTGCTGCAGATGTTTATCACCATATCGCTTTTTCAATTAAGACACCAAGCTGAAAAGTCCTTCTGCTGTTTCTCAGAGATGGTCTGCAAAACAATTGGGGCTTCTCCTTGGTGGAAAACTATAAGACAGTGGCCTTTTTTTCATTCGATTGGCTTGTTCAACTGGAAGAAACTGTTTCAGATAAACTGATTAACTAGTCGTGCCATCGAATATTGCTTTGACTTTAGCTGCTCAGTACTGGAATGACGGAATGACGAATTGAGGAATAGTTGTAACATTTGCCTGGATCATTATTTCGGGTCTCAATATGCGGTCCAATTCCTGGATCTCTGTTCGCAGTTGCGAGGTATTCCCATTCACAGTACCTTATATTTCTGTGCAAAGTTGCGTTGTGATCTCTTCTTCTTCTTCAAGTTCCACTCCTATCGGAGATTGGAAATCATTCTAGCAATTATAATTTTATTGGTTACTCGCCTGAATAGTTCAATTGAACTGCATCCAAACCATTCACGGAGATTGCGTAGCCACGAGATTTTACGTCTTCCTACGCTTCTTCTACCTTTGATTTTACCCTGCATTATATTCCTTAGTAGTTCGTACTTTTCACCTCTCATGATGTGCCCCAAGTATTCCAATTTCCTGATTTTTATGGAATTTAAAACTTCGCATTGTTTTCCTAGTTTTTCGAGAACTTGTTCTTTTGTATTGCGATCCATCCATGATATTTTCAAAATACGTCGGTAACACCACATTTCGAATGCTTCTAGGTTTTTAATGTTGGAATTTTTAAGTGTCCAAGTGTTGTGGTCTCAGTAGCTGCTTTTTGTATCTCTATACGCAGTTATGTAGTAGTATCACGCACTTCGGCACGAAATTCTAAACTGGTTTCTTGTATCCTCGTTTCGAGCCCTGCCAATTTAGGAGGGACCTTCTGGAACATCTCTAGAATACGTCGGCAAATCGCATTGACCTCTAGTTCAGTAGAGTGGATCATTGGCTTTTGAGTGTCTGGCGATAACCCAAAACAGTTGCAAATTCGTGAAATAAACTTTATATACAATTGCAGAAGTTCATTTAGTTTAAATAACTATTTAAAGTTTATGTATTTGTTGGTATTCGTCTTTTTGTAAAGGGATCTAAAAATTCATTTTTTGGTAAGTTTAATCAATGTTTAAACAATGGTCCCGTAAAATGAGACCAATACTTTCATGAAAAAAACGCCTAAACTTTGATTTGGAAGAGGTGCTAATTTGAATTTGAAACCTAACGCAAAATGCTTTACGTGTATTAAAATTTTGTTTGAATGGGTTATGTAGATTAGGTTTGTATGAGCAGCTGTGGTAGCTACGAGGTAATCGTTTTAAATCGTTCAGAATATAATCTGTTTTTAATACGTTTTATATAATCGTTGAACGTGTTACAAATTATTATTATCCTTGACAGATTATTTTATTAAATTAACAATACCAACATGATTTAAATAATTTGTACAATTTAATGTTATATTTTCGTAGCCTTGAAATTGTGATTTTTTAAGTATTGTTTAATTATTGGAACATTGTTGAGGAACCAATATTAAAGTCCTTGTAATTTGTGCACGTTCAATAATTTAGCAATTTTTATATTAACAATTTTAAGCTAAATGATTTATTTACTCTGTAAATGTAAAATTTTTGTACATCTCAAATTTGTACAAATGTGTATTTTTGATTATTCAGTACTGCAGAATAATGCAGTAATTACTTTACTACACAAGCAAGGAGACATAACAGATTTATAAAACTACCGTCCATCAGTTTGCTTTCACACATATATAAACTTTTCATAAAAATGATCAAAAAAAGATTGGACGCTAAATTAGACTTCTATCAGCCTAGAGAACAAGCTGTATTTAGATCGGGATACAGCATTAACGAACACTTACTAGTGATCGAAAATAGACGAAGAAGTTTGATTCATCGAAACAAGGTCAGGAATCAATCAATGATTTGTTTATTAAAGTTAAAAATGTGACAGCAGAGTAAGGCTTTCGTTCAAATCTATTATATAGAGTCCAGGAAAAGTTTGATGTAGGGATGTTGTAAAGATGAGATAAGACCCCAATAGGAAGGAAATGAAAGAGCTGCTTGAAATTGCCATGTCAAACGAAGCTTCCCTGGGGAAGCTAAAGAGGTTGATATCAACTATGGGAAGAATATTGCAAGGGTACGAAGGCATGTGACAGATTCCTTGGCAACAATACGTTAATTTAGGGAAGTATTTGCTAGGTTTGGTCTACCAAAGATAGTTGTACAGATTCTTCTTCTTTACGTGCCATCTCCGCGACGAAGGTTGACAATCATCACTACTATTCTAACTTTTGGCACTACAGCCCGATAGAGTTTAGTTGAGCTGCATCCAAACCATTCTCTGAGGTTTCTCAACCAGGACATTCTTCTTCTACCTATGCTGCGCTTTTCTTGAATCTTTCCCTACATTATTAGTTTTAGGGATTCATATCTGTCACCATGTGTTATATAGCCCAGATACTGTAGATTTCTTATTTTGATGGAATCCAGTATCTCGCTGCTGTTCTTTAATAACGGATAGCGGATCTCAATTCACTTCGGTGGAATTTTCACAATATTTGTCTTATAATTTATTTAAACACATAACTTCTCGACCTTATCAGCCCCAAACAAATGGTTTTGCTAAAAATACAGTTAAGACATTAAAGAGTAGTGTTACAAAGATTATTAAGGAGAACACTGGTGATAACATGTCGTTGGAGGTTGCATTACAAAGATACTTATTTCACTATAGAATATATGTTTTCACAGGTGTTACACCTTCAGATGTTATTTTTAAACGTAAGATTAGAAACCGTTTTGATTTGTTATTAAAAAATAAAGCTCAGAAATTGTTACACGTAAAAATAAAAAGGAAAGAAGAATTTGTAAAAGGGGATAGAGTGTTAGTAAGAGATTATAGGTGTCCTAATAAGAGGAAATGAGTAGAAAGAGTTATAAATGAGGTTTTGGGATATATGTATTATATTTGTGAATTTGTTAATGAAAATATATTTTGAAATCGTCATGTCGATCAGATATTGAAAGGAAAATTCAATGAATTAGGAGGTTTAAACCAAACTGTTGAAACTAATTAAGTTTAGATGAGTTTGAAGAATCTGATTATATGACGTCTCTTTATTATAATAAGACACCTGAATTAATCTTATCTGATTGCATTGGAGATATTAGATCATCAACGATTAATGTAGGAGATAACAATGTGAGTAATGAGAAACCAGATAGTAGTGATAAAGTTAGTGATAGTGTTGAGGAAGAATCTTTAGATAAAGCTAATGTTTTGCCAGTGCGGTAAAAAAGACTTATTAAAGCTCCCGATCGTTTCAATCTTTTGGAGGGGAGGTATTGTAGTGTCTTAAGAAATACTTCGTGTAAACTTAGCTTTAAGAAACATGACAGAATTAGAGGGTCCTTATTTAGCTTGGCTCCTTATGTTAGAAGCTTAGATCGTAGTTAGTTTTGTATTTTACAATTCAATAATAAAGTGCCAAAGGTTAATTTAGAGCCTATTTGTTTTCTGGTCCTCAGTCACAACACCACTATGGAGCTTTATGATTTATGTATACGCTAAATATATAAATAAACATATATATTGCGAATCAAGTTGAAATGAAAAGAAACAAACAGAATTCTTTGAATGAATGAATGAATGAATGAAACAATTGTTGCATAAAGTTTATACTATTAATAATAAGAAATATTTTTATATATTTAATCAATATAATTCTATAATTCTCAATGTAATCACGATTACATTTTTCTTATTATAATACCATGTTGACACCTATGAGAGATCGAGCATCGAGCAGCTCCGTATGGCTGTTATATTTTTACGTCTTGGGGAAATTTGAACTCTAAGGTTGATGTTATGAAAATTTTAAATACAAGTTTAAATATGTCAGTTTGTATATGTCGTGACGTTAAATGGTTTTAGGGTGAAAAATACTATACATAATAATCTAGATTGATCATTAATTTATTAGTATTGTATGAGATCTCAAAATACCTAAGTAGTTAAGATTGTTGCCTGTTGGTGTGTAAAATATTAATAAAAACACAATATTCTACCTAATGGGCTATGACTTAAACACTGGCACTAAACTTGCTTAAAAGTTTAACATCAGACAATTTTTATAGTTCCTATGGTATTGCAAATACCTAGTACATTATAGTTTAGTAAAAATAGTTGATGCTAAAAATGTTTACTAAATAAAGAATAAAAACTTACCAACACAAATAATTAAATTACCGGAATACTAACCGGAGAGAACTGATTTGTTTTTAAATATATTAATATTTTATAATTTGTAATTACAAGTAAATGTTATCTCCCGTACCTACTTGTCAAGATAATAAAAATCTGATAACAATGGCTCGATCAATATTAACATTTTCATTTATTTAATTGTGTAACTTAGAAAAAATTTCGCTATATAGTATAGTTTCGAAATTCTAGACACTATATTCCAGGAAATGGTGATGACCAAGTTATTCTTGTTCTTCCAGTGGCGTACGATTTTTTTGTAAAAGTGAGAGGTAGCAATAATTGTATTAAAGAATATTTTACAAATTATATGAACTGTAATCATCCGAAAATTCTGTAAGTTTTAGTTCTTCTTCTTCTTATTCTTTTTTTGAGCTATGTCCTAGACAATTTACCCAGTTTACTTGGGAGGTTGACACTTTTTGTCTTGCTTCAGCAAATCAGTGTCCACCTACACTTATATTCTTCCTTTGTTTGTTTTGGATTATTCTACATGTATATTGTGTTGGTATTTTTTTTCTTTATATTCTTCACAAGCTAAAATTTTAGTAACACAACAAAGGTATAAACTTTTCTCGCTCGGGGGTAGCCTCCAAGCTTTGCACACACCAGAAATGCTACCGACGGATAAAGTAGAAGCACACAGGACTGAAAGAAGGAAGATCATAGTTTACAATTTAATATTGAAGGTAGAAATAAAGATACATAAGGTGTTTATTGTATTTTCATTAATATTTGTGAGGATTGTGCAAATATTTATGGGAGTGGAAAGTTTAGTTTTAGCTTATTCGGCATACAAGTCGCAATGTGGGTTTTGGTTTAAGCGACATTTTAATAAAATATAGTTTAAACCTCCCACTTGGCCACATTCGCAATAAGGATCATCCTTGACTCCAATTCTTAATTAATGAAGAGGGGATGAGCAATGACCCGTTCTCATACGGATGATTGTAGTTAAATGTCTCCTACTGATATATGCGAATTTATTGAACCATGGTAATGTGTGGATTCGTTTATTAATTTTGACAGAATGAATTACTTGTGCCATATCCTTCGTACCATTCAGCTGCGCAGTTAGACCAAACCTCTCTTTTTAAGTAGGGTGTAAAATTTGAAAATTGTAGCTTGATATTAATCGGAATATTCAGGGAATGACCTATATTGGCAAGTTGGTCAGCCTTGTAGTTTCCAGTAATACCAGAGTGTCCTGGGATCCATGCTAGTAAGGTTTTGATATTATTGTTCCTTGCTAGGATAATTCCTCTTTTCGTTAAATACGATATATGTTCTGTGTCTTAAGAAATCCCTGTTTTTTTTTAATTTTTGTAGTACACTTTTGGATTAAGAAAAGATAATGGCTTCTGTGATATTTTGTTCCAGTATAATTTGGACTGCACGATTGATCGCGGTTACCTCTGCTGTACATATTTGGGTATGATTGGGTAGTTTAGATGAAAATAAATAGTTTATATCTGGGGAAAAAACTCCAAAACTCGCATTTCCATTGTGTCCGTTAAGCCGTCTGTAAAGAATTTTTTGTATGAATGGAATTTTTTAACTAAGTTCACAAAATTCATAAGGTTGAATTCATTTTTTGTAATGTTTTTATTCAGAATTACTTTGGTAATGCGTCTGATCTAGTTTTTTCAATATATATTTAGGGCATGTAAATAGGAATTGGCCCCCATAGTTCAAATGACTTAGAATAAGTGCTTCATGGATGAGTTTAAAATATTTTTGGGTCACTGCCCCACCATGTTCCACGCAAGGCACGCATTACATTTAGTGCTTTACCTATTTTGACTCCCAGCTGGTTAATGTGTGCATTCCATTTAAAGGTTCTTCTGTAAAACCATTCCTATATATTGAATTTTATCTACTCACTCTATATGTTGTCTCTTATAACTTATATTTACGGGAATTATTTTGGTATTACCCTTTGTAAACAAGATAACTTTAGATTTGCCCACAGAGATGTTCAAATTATGATTGTCCAGCGAGGCCTCGAGATTGTCTAAATATTTGTTTATTTTTGATATCATATTTTTAACGTTCACTCCCTTGACTAGAATTACAAAATCGTCAGCATACTGTCTGACTTTAGCATTTTTTGGGAACACATCGTGTAATAAGTAGGTATATATGTTGAATAGTATTGGAGTTAATGGTGATCCTTGTGTGAGTCCAGTGCTAGTGGTATTTGGGCCATGTACTAACCCAGAGTTATCTTTGAAGAAACCTTCTTCCCCCAGAAAGAGAAAAAACCCACTACCTTCTGCTCGATTACATATACAGGCAAAATAACAACAAAAATTGCCAAACACATAAAAACAGCTTTTTTATGTGTTTGGGAACAAGGAATAACACCAGCTTTCCGAACAAATAACAACCTAGGTAAATATATTAAAAATAACAAGAGCCAAAATAAAAAACACTTAAATAGTGGTGTGTACAAACTTCAATGTGGCGACTGTCCAAAAACTTACATCGGTCAAACTGGTAGAAACTTTGATAAACGAATAGCAGAACATAAAAGGGCTTTCAAGAATAGAAAAACAGATTCGACATATGCACTTCACCTTCTAGATCATAATCATTCTTTTAATGACAAATTAAAAATTCTTCACATTCAAAATAAAGGCCTTAAGCTATCTTTGTTAGAATCTATGGAAATCAACAAATTAAAAAACACAGATATAATTCTGAATGACCAACTTGAGACAAACAGTTCTCCCCTCCTCAACCTATTTCATTAGAGACTATAAATTTGTAAACCCAAGCCAAAAATAGATCACTTGAAAAAGGCTATCAGCCGAAACAGCTGTAGTGATAAGATTTAAAATAAATTTTGTGGAAGTTTGAAAACAAAGTCTTCAGTGTTTTATTGTTACATCTTATAATATTTCTTTCTTGACATAACTACGTTTTATTTTTAACTTTATTAATCATTTGTTTACACATGTAGGATGTTTTTTTAATTTAAATAATTCGTGTAATAATAATTATATTCATTTAATTCTTGCCGTTTGCTATTTCCTATTTAATATTTTCTTAAAATTGTAAATATTTATAATCTTCTATTAAATATGGCAAGGAAATGTTTAACTTTTATGGTGTTGCTAACACCAGGTTTATTATTTTGGTTTTTTTGACCTCAATAAATTTTCCTTGTTTCCTCTTGTTGGGTGGACCTTGGTCTCACGGTGTACCACACATGATATAAAAACCGCAGCATCATATCAGCTAGCATGCAAAACTCATTAGCTACTTGAAACTACAAAGGGTTTGATCCTCAGCATCTCCATCAACTTGCAATCAACTTATTTGTCCTAGCCAAACTCATTTTTTAGCTCTTTTTAGATTTTTTAGACTAAGCTAGATGAAGCCTGAACAATTGGCTCCCAAATAAAGTTGTAGTTTTATTGTTACACATTCGCTCCCAACTTTCTGAGGATAGTTATATTGTTGATAATTAATAAGTTTCAAAATACAGTTATCAGATATCTACAGCAAACGAGACATAAGTCATCAGTTCGAAATAAAGGTAAGTATGTATTAAGGTTGTATTTTTTGGGTCACATGCAAATTATCTTGCTGGACAATAGAACTTTCTAGTTCTCACGGATGAGGTACTGTAACAAGTTTCAAAAAATTATGAATGTAACATAATGAACCATTACTGATGTATGCAACATAGCAAAAATTTAGTCACATTTCCATCATGATAAACATATCAATATTTTGTTAAACGTATCTGTTTTAAAACTTGAATAATCTACATGGCGGTGTCAACTAAAGATAAGTTAATATTTGTCTTAGATATCAAGAGAAACAATGAGTTTAATAAATTAACAGATGTCTTCTTTGTCTCTATTTATTTTCACAAGAATAATATCTAAGTCAAGATATTTTTATCCAGGTATTAAAATTATAGACTTTCGCAATAAATTATTTTTGTTAATTAGTTATATGTTTTTCGCATATCGCATATGAATATTTATGTATTTTTTTATTTTATTTTATATCGCATAGAGTAAAGAGAAAATTAGGAAAACTTTCCAAATGACATTTTAAAATTCATCAGAAACACCTGGTTGGATTTTTTAAAACTTGCTATATATATATATATATATATATATATATATATATATATATATATATATATATATATATATATTGTTATGATATGTAAAATCAAGAAAATATCGGTTTCTTTAAAAATATTTCAAAGTTCAAAACATTAAAATAATTCATATAAGTCAAATAATGAACAACAAACATTTCGAAGAATGAAAGTCTTTTAATTTTGGATTACCTGTATTTAACAAAACGTAAGATATGCATAAATTATTTTCTTTGTTAAAATATATTTGTATGACGTGAATAAGCTGAAGTGAAATCCATAAGACAATTGAACCGGGTTTTCCAAATACATTAGTGCAGTGATTAGGACAATAGAATAGATTTTAGAAAGATATCTTTTTGTTAGTTTTTAAGAATTGGTGGAAAAAGATTAGTTTTTAAATAATGTACGGAAATTTTATAATTGTAGGTAAAAATTTGTGTGTTATCGAAATGAAGAAATGGCAGATGAATGAAGCGTTTTGATTGGATGAAATTGAAAAAGGTGGGATGATTGGTTTGAGAATGAGACTTTAGTTAGTTTTTGAAACAAAAAAGATAGTCAGTTGGTTTCCAAGGGTGCAAGGCGAACGGCCGTTGTTCTCGGGTAGTTTCCCAGAGGTAGGAAGCAGTAGCGGTGAAAGTTTGTGAGTTTTCGTGTAGTTAGTGTATCTGACAGAAGCTGGTCCAGTAAAAGATTGTAAGTTATATTTTCTACTTATATTCCAAGAGTCACTGTTCAGGCCAACGAGAGATTCAGTTTATCGTAAAGAAAAGATATTCCAAAAGTCATTTTTCACTCAGGCCAATGAGAGATTCAGTTTATTGAGAGAAGAAGAAGCTTGCATAATTTGAACGATTCGTGCATTTGAAGGAGATCATTAAGGACGATAAACTTGCAATAATTTGTTGTAAGATTGCTGATTACCTAGGGAG